CTTCAAGTAGCCATCCACCAATTTACCATTTTACTTCACATTACATTACAAGGATCTATACACTATATCTAGTTACACCCCCTCCACCAAATATTTAAAAACAGTATATGCTTAACCGTTAAGCAATTCATTTATATTGGTGGAAATGTTTTTCACTAGATACCATAGGAGGGGGTTGTTTGGTAGATCCACTTTATATTAAATCATGACCACCCACATCAAATTAGAATGTGGTGTTGTGTTTGATGTTATACATAATTAGAGAGAAAGTATAGGTTTAGGCCACACAAACACAATTGATTGATGGCCAGTCTAATGTTGTTTAGATTAGATTGGATTCAATTTAATTTACAGATCAGCTTTTTCAAAATCTACTCCAACTGTTCCCCGATGAGCCCAGCCCACCCCTAAACATTGATCATCTTTGCTCATATATCTACTTCAGAAACAAACGGGGAATTTTTTGATGCTTCTAAAACTTCACCTAATTTAAGTTCAAAGGAAGGGATGGTTAAGTTCTTTTTCTACTCGGCCAATTTAGTTTGTCGGTTGCAAAAATTCTGCAATTAATCGATTTCATTCCAGTCTATTCCTAAGAAAAATTTTTGGAATAAAAAAGCCCAGCTAGGAAGGTAGTTAGTAGAAAAATGCACAGGTGTTTTCTACCATAATGCCCAATTTCTGGTATTTTATGGATTTGGTAGTTTGCTTATTAGATTATAATGCAAAATTGGTTTACAATACTCAAATCTGATGAGTTAAAGTTAATCATTTACCCCACCCCCTCCCATTGGGCAATATTACAGAAAAGACTTGAAAACAGAGAGCACGTTAAACTAGTGCTGCTGGTTAGCTGGTATTTGTTCATCATTATAATTTCCGAGTTTTATCCGTCTGTTATTCTGTTTTGTTTGATGCTGTGTGCTGTCTGTCATCTATATCTGGTTTTATTTTTTGTCATGCGTGGCGGCAGTATAGTTAGAGTTAGAATAACAGCTCTGTGGGTATGCTTCAAGTGTACATTCAGATGAAGAAGTATGAGAGATATGTGATGAAGATGGAGGAGAGGAGGAGGAGGGAGTTTGAGAGGGAGACTCTTCTGGAGGCGGTGGAGGTGAAGTCATTGCATAGGGCACTGTTCTCACAGCATCTCACCATCACCCCTGAATACAAACATACACATACTAATATTCACTCATTCACACATATATTTACACCCCCCCCCCCCCCCACCACCCCATTAACTCAATCATTCAGATTAAATCAAGTATTTCCACTCACTCACTCAAAAACCCATTGCACCCTTCTCCATTCTAAGAATTCGACCCCTTCACCTCATTAAATCCCTTTTTGGTCTTAATTATTGCTTAACAATTTCTATTTGAAAACAATGTGGGCTAAACTTTGTATTTGTTCCGACAACAGAAAGTGGGCAACTATGTCTTCGGGTATTTTAGTTTTTTTTCTTTTAAAACATTTTGTTCACGCAAAATCAGGTTTTACAAATAATCATAAAAATGGATCGGGTGATTTTTTACACTAAGCCCTTACAGTCGTGTTTCATACAATATTTTGAAAGATCTAAGACGTTTTCTAAATATCGAGAAAAACCAGTTTGAAACTTTCTACATTTTAGTCTAGATTCCAGCAAGCAGGGCGAAGCGAGCGATTAGAGAGTTTTAAGCATAAATGAAGCTATAACCTGCTTTTTTGCTTAAAAACAGTTTAATTTAATCTAATTTAAAACATTTGCAGCACAAAAACTTCACAAAAATCAAAAAAAAAATTAAAGTGTAACATGAAAATTTTTATTAATTGTAGATTGCTTAAGCCAGTATCAATTTTTTGGGCTAATTTTGTTCCTCTTCCTACGCGTAGAAAAAACACAATTATGAATAAAAATACATTTTTGCTTATTTTTGTGTCGGAACTTTCAGGGTTACTTGCTCGGTAACCGATTGTCCTTGAAAAAAACTCGCATGACAGGTTTTTATCTGATATAGTTAGTCTATTTGTCTATTTGAGCCTTTTTGCCAAAGCTTAAGCAAAGAAAGGGCTTCATTTGAAAGCGCTCCTTAACTAAACAGTTTTCAACAATAGGAGGTTTAATGTGTATTTTCGAATCGTTTGCGGATTCCGCGACAAGGCTGGACAAAGCTTTGTCCAGTAATCGGCAACAAAGTTTTTTGCTGTTGTGGAATCGAGATACAATTGGCTGAAACACATTGTACCTCCAATTGCTTGCTAAAGCAGCAACATTTGCTGAATCCAGGAAAAAAAACCTTCAAATTCTACTTACAAACTTGCAAAACCCGCTGAAAAACTGCTGAGTCTACACACAGTTAGCGGTTAATACCGACATACACATACAAAAGTGTACGCTTTAATAATATATAGTTTGGCCTAGTTATGAAAATCTATTATAGGAAATTGGTTTCAAAAACAGTTGAAACATAACAGCTAGCACAAATTTTCCTTAATTTCTTTGAAAGTCTTCAAGTCGTATCTATTAACTAAGCATCTTAAAAACCTTGAAATCAGGCTGCAAAAGATGACGTCATTGCAAACGTACCAAAAAATACGGAATCTTCTATTCACAAAAAACTGTTAAACTGAAGTAGGTGCTACAATCTGTCTGATTAAGAGTTGCACAAACCTATTATAATTAAAATTGCAACCTTGCAAGATAATTGCGAAGCAGTGCAAAACCAGCAAGAATTTTGTATTGTTCTTTCGGAATCCCAAATTCGAGATAGACTTTGCAGAAATTAAACTCCCCGGTAATTTTTTTTCAAAGTAACTGTTTTGCGTGCCATAGAAGCTGGTTTTATGGAGTTTTATGACCTGCAGTTTAAGTTTTTGGCGGTGGTCTATTCAAGAAGGCAACTTTTTCAAAAGCTTTCAACAAATTTTTAATACTTGCATTCCCTGAAGCACGTAAATTTTTACTGATGATGTAAAATATATGGCTTTCGAGCAACATATTATTTGAAACTTTTGACTTTTTCATCAATACTAATTTAGACTTTAAGAACTGATTACCTACACAATCTTTTTTTTGAACTACAATTTTTATGTAACTGCTTCAAAAAATCTAATTGTCAATTTGACAGTTTACAACGTGTACAATGATAATTAAATTAGGACTTCAGGAGTTAAAAAAGAGAGAAAAGTCATACAAACTTATTTTAAAATTGACACATTACCAAAAAATTAGAGTTTTTAAAAAAAAATCAGATAAACATTGTTTCAGACTATCAATTAAACTGAAAACTTAACAAAACTGTTTGGATACCAGGGCGAAGCCCTGAATGTTCCGACTGCATTTTGAAGTCAATTTGAAAAAGTTTTGTTTGAAAATCTGATGAAACAAGTCAAAAAAAGTACAAAGTTATTTCATTTTTTTCTTCAATTCATCCCCCAACACGCGAATGTGAACTATAACGAGATGTTTTTATCTTATTTTATTTTAGTATACGACCAAATTACTTGCCTAAATTCAATTGGGAACGCATTAATCCGCCGCTTACGCGTGTTATAAGAACGCAATATATCGCGCGTTAATTATCTCAAATTGGCAAAATTAGCAACCCTTAAACAATCATAATTTTTAACAAGTCGAAAGCTGACTGAATAAAAATCACCCCAAGCATAAATTTCCCCACTTTCTTGGAAAGTCAAAACAAAAAAAAAGACGTTACAGATTTGTTGAATGAAATCTTTTTAAGCCAAGCATATTTGTTTCTTTTTCCTCTGTAGAAGACAATGAGGTATCAACGAATTCCGTAGATAAAATAAAGACTAAAAAGTTAACTGGCAACTTATTACATAACAAGAAATGAGAAGGTGTTCACTTTGTTAGAAATTCAACAAGAAGAAAAATTGTATTCGAAATTTTTGGTTCAATCATTTAAATCAAATTCAATTGTAAGCAGTTCAACCGTATATCTCAAACTTTTGACATAGTGTTTTTTACATAATTTTTTTACTTGCCAACGTTTTTCCATTATGAAATGGGGGATAAAAATGGAATCAAATAAATTATCAGCCTATTGAAATACCAACTAATTTTTCATTGATAAATTCTTAGAAAAATTGATGTACTTAGAAAAATTGATGAAAAATTGAGTTAATTTGATAGATTTTTGTCTCGGTCGAATTTTGGCGATCGAAACAAGTTTTTTTTTAATTTTAAAAAAGATATCGATTCAAATGTAAAAAGATATAATTTAACTACCATAATTTTTAGCACAAATGGAGATAAAAACAAAACTGCGCTTCGCAGACAATAGCGAAAACACAAAAAAGCAGCTCTATGAAGTGGAAAAACAAGTTAGTAAAACTTCGGGTACTTCTCGGCTTCGAACCTGCGACCTAGATATTACGAGTCTCACAGACTGCCTACTCATCCACAGACGCGTTTATTAGTAGTTCACAAACACTAGCCACAATTAAGCACAGAGCAGATGCTGTGTAATTTCCAATGCTACAGTGAAATTTCCAAATAAATGAACACTTTTAATGAACACTTTTATTTCCAAGTTCGGTTAGAAAAAAAGTTCGTATTATTACATTAACGATGACAAGCTCGATGTGTAAAAAATGAATATTTGGCCATGCTCTGGGCTATTTTAAACGCGATCTAAAAGTTTAATTTCTGATGCGGAAAGCATAACGCGAAAAATTTATGCGTGGCGAATTATCCTGCATTAAAAAATTGTTCGAAAATTAGTTGACGCAAGCTTATTGGTCTTCTTAATTTCTACACTTGATGTTTGATATATTTCTTCAGAATTTTAATTTAAAAAACTATTTGTTGCAAACAAAATTAGGAGCAGTCGGAACATTCATTGCTTTGCCCTGACATACGAGCAGTCTTGTTTTACTCATTAATAAGCAGAATAGCTTTTAAAATTACTGTGAAGTAGTTGCTGTTATAAATTCGCAATTGAATAATGCACATTTCTTAGATTCGATGCAAGTCAATAATTATGAATTGAAGGCTTATGCTATCTATAATTACTTTTTTTTGCATCTCAATAACCATGAAAAGTATTAAAATGAAAAAATCCAAGCCAAAATAAAAAATTAATTGATATTCGAGGGATCGCTCCTTTCTCCACTAGAGTTTAAAATCTTTACTTGGGACGTATCGTTATTTGATATTGTCAAAAAGTTCATTTTGCGTTGTTATGCTGATAACATTGTAATTAAATGCCGATGTCTGTCTTCTCCAAGATGGAAACAAAATATGCTTATATTCAATTTCAAAGTTAAAACAGATCTTGAAAATATGGACTCGAAAGGGGAATGGGAGGAGGAGCGGAATTGTGTGAACTGGCTTTATCATTTTTATCTAGTCAATGATAAGTGTGTGATGCTGCAGTGCAGTACCTGTGAATCCACTCTTGGTCCCATCGGCCGAAGTGGCCACACACTGTTGGGTCATACACTGTCTAGTGGCCCCCTGAGCCACACCATCCACAAAGGTCATGTACGTCTAAACGCACGCACATACAAAACACATAACACGCAGTATACTATACGCTTTTTCTGCAAATAACATACACAAAAGCCACAGATCAAAACTCAGACGAGATTTTTATTTATTTGTGAAACAGCAAGAGGATATTTTAAATCAAGCCAAAACATATTCTGGAGAAACATAAAGAAAATATGTAAAGGAATATTGGTGCGCATTTTTTGATTAAAAGTTCTGAAAAACTGAACAGAGCAGGGCAATTTTTATGGACTATTTCGATCCAATAAATTCAAAATTTTTGTTGGGCAGAAATTGGTTTCTATGGTTTCAATATTTTGAAACCGTAGTAGAACCCCCCCCCCCCCCCTCACTCACCCACCATCAATTTTTATCGTGATCGAAAGTTTCAATCATCACTCATTGCAATAAAACTAAATTTAGTGACTTTATTACATTAACTGACTCATTTCAATAAATTTGATCTTTCGTACACTATGCTTTGAAAAAAAATGCTGGTTACTGAGTGAAATGGATGCTCATGAGTGGTGAAGACGGACCAGCAGAAGTTTATTCAACTCCGGTCAACTCAACTTTTCTCAATAGTGTGTGATGTACTCACGTAGCAGAATCCGTCGCAGCTCTCAGTGCCCAGGGATGTGTAGGAGGCGATGCAGGCAGAGTTGGAACCCTGGGTGGAACACTTGTAGCACTGAACTCCTTCCACGCCTCCAGGCACCAACAGCACCGCCACAAACAACACCACACTCACACTCACTACAACACAATCAAATATACGTCATCCCAGTTGACATGTAGATAATAATAATATACTGTTTTCAGGCAGATAAAAACAAAAGTGTGAAAATACAAATTATTCACCATTGGATCAACAAATCCATTTCCAGGTGTCCATTTATCAGGTGTCCATTGACAGACGTCAGTTTCAGATGTCAGTAAATATGAGTCCATTTTCAGGTATGTGGTTTCAGGTATGTGGTTTCCGGAGTCCATTTTCAGGTATGCGGTTTCGTTGTTCGTTTTCAAGTGTCTGTTTTCAGATGTACTTTTTCAGTTGTTTCCTTTTGTCCATTTTCAATTGTCCTTTTTCAGCTATCCATTTTCAGATTTTATTTTTAGTAGTCCATTTTCAGGTGTCAATTTTCTTCTTTTCCTTTCTCATTTGTCCGTTTTCAGTTGTTCAGTTTCGGGTGTCCATTTCCAGGTACGCGGTTTTAGTTGTTCGGTTTCGAGAGTCACTTCTCAGGTATAGAGAGTTGCAAAAAGTTCGGACAAACAGAAATAATTAAAAAGAGCAATCTGCCAATTTTGAGCAATTTTTGCATGCAAATTTGAATTTTTAGGTGACATTGAGACAAACTTTCAGTCTGAAAAATTAGCTTTTGCATGCAAAAATTGTCTGAAAAAGTTCATCTGCTCTTTTTAATTAATTCTTTCTGTCCGAACTTTTTGCCACTAATTATATGCCGTTTGAGTTGTCCGTTTTCAATTGTCCATTTTCAGATGTCCGTTTTCATTTTTTCGTTTCAGATGTTCATTTTCAGGCATGCGGTTTCAGTTGTTTGATCTCAGTTGCCCATTTTCAGGTTTCCTTTTTAAGATATCTATTTTCAGGTGTTTTTTCTTATGCCCATCTTCAAGTATCTGTACCATCTGCACAAAAAGTCATGTAATGTGCTGAAACCTTCGCTGCAGAACTTTCGCGTGGGTATTAATTTTGGGGTATTAACGGAACGCTGATTTGAGCTCTGCGGAAACCCTTGAATGGCCAGATTTCGCCTTTTTTGCTCCAAGGGCATTTTTTCAAAGCTTTTCGCCAAGGACCTTTAAGGACGAGTTTTGGATCTTTTTAAATATCCCCCAATAGTATCTAGTAAAAATTAATCACTTCCATAAAGAGCTCAATCAATGGCTAGCAAATGTGGGTTTTGTGCCTCTCTAACTATTTCTTCCCTTTTACAATAGGGGGAAATAGGGGAAAGGGTACTTAAAAATCCCAATTTTCATGAAACTAAATCAAAAGAAACTCCTTCGAAGACTTATGGTTAACAGAAAACAATTAAGGCAAAATTCAAACTTTATGATAGGTGTGATAAAAGAAGGTAACAAAAAGAACTGATTTTTTCTATTTCCATATGTTCAATTTGAGATCGTCATTTTTCAATTTGAGTGTTTATTGGACAACAAAAAATGAACAGTTATGACCGTTCAGTGAATGTTGGATGTCATAGGAAATGCCGAGCTGGGATAATAGGGCAATGACGAGATCGAATACTTGATAGATAGAACAAAAAACTTCTCCGGTCCAAAGCTTGTCTATGTATGCAGAAAAATGGTAATTTTGCACAATTGTGTACAATTTTGACACAATAGTTTGGTCAATTCTGAATGATGATGCCTTCGCCGGGTAAAAGACATGATTTGAAATAATTTGCCGCCCCGGCAAGTTACAAAGCCTAATATCACGACCAATACGGTCAAACGATTTCTATTGTAGACATTTTCATACCGCGCAACATCTCTTTCGTCTTTTCGTGCGAAACAACATTGTATTTTGACCTCATTGAGCGAGTATTGTCCGCGGTCAACTTTTGTTTGATTTTTCTGAAAATCGTTTGACTTCATCTTACTTTTCCCCGGAGCCGTTTTACTTCAAATTTTTTTGTTCGATTTTAATCAAGATTTCGCAAAATAGCTTGGCGCTTTTGTTCTAAGTTACACTATTAGGTCAGTCTTTTTTTTTGCTATTGATTTTCCGGGTGCTTCTTTTAATCAGTTTTGTCTATTTGCTGTCAAAAAATTCAAAACAATTTCAAAAAATGTTTTGTTAAACTTTATTCAAGTGTATCATCGTGGGTCGAAAGCCTGATATAGACTGACCATTTCGGTGATTACAATAAAGACAAGATAGCTGCGCAGACATATCAAAAGGATAGAGTACATTTTACTGAAGGATGAGCTTTAAAACGAATGCCAAAACTTCGGAATGGTGGAATGGAAAACTAAGGCAGGTTTTGAGAAAAATTCTTTAAATCACTAAATTACTACTCACGCCATGTTGGGAAAGCGGATGACGAAGCTCGTGCGGATGAATAGGAGGGGGAAGAAGCGGGGCTACCCAGGCGGTGACCGCGGATTACCCCTCGGCATATTTTCATATTTCAGTGTATACACAATACTATCAGCAACAATTTCTTCTGCTCCGATTTCATCAAAAAAAAGCAATACAGCAATAAATAACAGTATAAGAGCGATCAAATTCTGCACTCACTCGATCAAATTTGCTTCTATGATACACAAAATAGGCATTATGTGCATTTACTTTTACGTGCTGTAAAAACGAATTTTTTGTGCGATAAAAATAATCTTTGTTTTCGTGTGTGTGACCAAAAACCACAAGAGTTTTATTTTTCGCTTCAAGATGACAAGTTTAGAGAAAGAGAAAAATCTTGAAAATTTTATTAAACAATACAGACTTTACACCAGTGCTTTTCGCTTCATTAATATCCATTCACACAATTTTATCACAGACTTCTTTTGACGTCACTAATTGAAGTATTTAGTAACCAAAATTGTCTGTTAATTGTTGTTCAAAATTGCTGTTTTGCCAGCAAAACCGCATTCACCTCACCAAATAAATTAACCTCCAGATCTGAAAACAACAGATTTTTTTTTAGATAGTTTATGCTATGATAAGTCTCACAATAAATATGTAAGAACTTATAATGGTTTCGTTTTTAGTACAAAACAAACCGTTGCAAACTATTAGTAGTATTAGAAAAAGAAGAACCTGCATAAAATAATGAAAGTTGACGACTTTCTCGAAACTCAAAAACTTTCAGACCTCATATACTCAAAAAAGAGATCCTAAAAATCGATAGTTTTTCTTTCAAAAAATTATTTTCTTTGAAACTTTTTCATTCCATATTTTTGAAACAATATCGTTACCACATTTGACATGTATGATAGTATGCAAATTTTAGTAGTAATACATTTTTTTTCTCTTGTGAAGATCAAAATACAGGTTTGCTGTGCAGTTTATTTTTAAAATCAAAATCCTATCAGTATCGAAAGAATACATTTGAAAAGCACGACAAACAGTACAGCTGATTTAGTGAAGTCATTCTTGTTCAAAAACTATAGCACGGGTAACATTGGTTTTATTCTATTATAAAAACTGTCAGTTAAAAAATAAACACATATATTCATGAAAACATATATATTTTTGGAAAATGTCGACCAAAAATTCACGTTTTTTCGGCGCGCGCTCCAGACTTGTTAACGGGCCGCCATAATTGAAGCCCGGCCCGATATAATTCAAGTTGAGCCCGTTGGCGGCCCGATAAACAGGGAATTTATTAAATATCGGCCCGTTGGGGCCCGTTGCTGCTTTTTTGGTAAAAAAAAAACAATTTTGTTTCAAAATAATTTTAATTAATTGTTTTACTTATTTATAAAGACCTTTTTTAAAAGCCATGGAAACCATTTCAATTGCCTCAACGGTTGTAGGCGAAAATTTTGCCCGTCTTTCGGATACCGAAACATAACATTGGTTAGTCAATAAAAGTAAGGCCCGTTGGGGCCCGTTGACAAAAGTGAAAACCTCGGCCCGGCAAAAGTAGTATAGATTGTTCTAACTTTTTCCACCCAAAATCAGATACCACGCAAATTAATAATTGAGCTGGGTAGAATGATATATCATATAGAAGCCATTTTTTCGTTTATTTGTTTTTTAAAGACAATTGTAGTCGTTTATGCCTAAAAAATTTCCTATAATGTGGTCTGTTCGGTTCATTCTGTGCTAATTGCACAGCAACCGGTTATCCTTCTTATTCTAGATTTTTTTTGTATTTTGACTTGACCTATTAGAATCTGGCATAATCTTCAAAATTTTGCATCTGAGAAGCAAATTATCAACTACACAGTGGACGAAACCTTTTAAAAACTTTTGCATTTAGTTTTTTTCTTCAATTCGCTTGAACCAAGGAAACATTAGAAAGTCAGAAAAAAAATAGTTTAATTACTTACTTTTTCAACCAGTTATCCAACAAAAACAACCAGTGCTCATTATGCTAAAAACCCCAACATATTCAACCCATGCTCATTTTCTTTCTTTTTTGTAAACTTGAAAAATTGCAAATTTAGCGCGTGTGCCTTTAGCTGTAACGTCCTAAAATTTTATCTCTGCGCAATTGAGCGTTTCTCTGGCCATCTCAGCGCAACTTTGCTATTTTTCAGCAAAACGTGGTTGTACAAAGTTTGTTGGAAACTAACAAAATTTTATAAGGACTTTATTATAATGAGAAAACTGGATCAATAAGTTAAACTTATATTTAGCTGGGAAATCTGAAAATTAAATTCCACTTTAGAAACCAGAAGTCGATCACGTTTTTCGTGCCTTTCACATTTTTTGCTGTTCGATAACGGAGCCTCATTTTACACACAGGCTGAGATTCGCTTCGCTTCGCAAACACCATCGAGAGCATGAAAAAAAGCATCTCTATAAAATGCAATAAAAAGTAGAAATAAGCCTAAATTAGTAAAAATTCAGCAACGTCTCGGACTCGATCTGCGACCTAAAGATTATGAGTCTCACACACTAACCACTAAGTAACGGACGCTTCATTAGTCACAAACACTAGCCAAAAAAAGCAGAGAACAGATGCCATGAAACTTCTAAGGCTACAGATCGTGAGTATAGCAAAAATGCCACTAATTAGTGAACATTTTTGTTAGCGAGTTTGGGTAGAAAAAAAGAAGATTCATACTAATACACTAAAGCGCGCATGCTGTCTAGTGTACACAAAAGAAATGAACTGGACTTAGAAAGCAATCAAAAAGAAAACCGCTAAAAAGTTAATTTGAGCCTAAACAAATTTTAAGACTGTTCCTGAAAAAAATCATCGCGACCTATATAAGAGTCCGAATTACGATCATCGATTCTTAAAATAATAGTTTTCATACTGTTCGGTAGCTTTTCTTTCTTCCATTTGTCGAAGAATTTAAAAAATGAAAATCAAACCGCCAAATTAGTTACGAGCTTAAACAATAATTCGTACTTTTCCAGAAAAACCCCATTGACCTAAATAATTAAATAGGTAATGCGCCCAAAACTAATTATCCGACCGATTTTGACAATGTTTTTCTACCCATCGGCAAAAAACGTTTAAACCGCAAGTATATGATGAGCTTGTTGTTTATGCGACGAGGTAGATTGTTCATACTTTACAAAACAGTAAAACATCTCTGAGATTCGAAGTAAACCCGAAATTTTCCTACCAATTATGATTCTCCACGCAAATTTGCTGCCTTAGCACTTGCTTGTATTATCTTTCGCTGTTTCCTTCAACCAGGAATTGAATCGAATCATAATTCCAAATCAGAAAAAGTAGATAGGACTTTATTATAACTGTTATCCACACGGATACAGTACATACCAATATGAACTGTTATCCATTCGGATATACTAGAACTATGTGTATCTAAAACATTACATCCATCCCAAGTGCTAACCATATATACTTATTTAACACTATGTAAACTGAACTATATAGAAGTCTGATCTAAATTAAGTACCTACTAAACCTAACACCATATTCAATAGTTATTTATGAGTCTCTGTCTCTCTCATGATTTCGAGGTCAGATTCGAATCAGACTTAACTTTCTAAACTGAATTTAAGTTGCTCTCAATCTCTTCGTATTCCTATTCTTAGTTAGCGATTAAGCATAGACTTTGACTATCGAGATTATACCGTATATACCTCACCTAACGGCTGAGGGTATAACATGGCGCAGCCAGCACTCACAACAAAAAACCCACTAGGTATCGCCCCATTCTGGCAAAAAGCCTCGGCGGAACCGCCAACAGAGTGGGAGAAGTGGAACCAGCAACTCTACTTAGGGATTGTCGCAAAAGATGGTATCAACCTACAAAAGCTGTTACGAGATCCACCCGCAATAAGAAAACCGCACGAACCTGGTTATGAACTTCCTATAGAAGGGGAAACTCAATCACAAACCGGGGACAGGAACATACGTAACCAAGAAAAAAAGATCCAATGGGATAACCAATGTGCACAATTGGACAATTTGGGACCCACCGTGGATGGAATACCATGGGAGGAAGCCGACATAAAAATCAAAAGCTACATATACCTAAGCCTAGGTAACGAAGGTCAGAGACGTTTGAACCAACACTACCCAGACCTAAAGATACAAGAAATATCAACAAGAGAATTCTGGGATCGTTTGGAACACCTTTTCATTAAAGACCGTAATGTTACATTTGACAGATACGAGGCATTCACACGAAAGCAGAATAAAACAGAAACACTGGAACAGTTCCACTGCGGTCTCACGGAATTAGTCATCAAAGGAAACTTCAAATGTCCTAATTGCAACAATAACACGTTAGAAACAGAGATTATCCGAGACTTATTCACAGCAAATATGACAAATGATGAAGTACAAAAAGATTTACTAGCTGAGACTAAGACCCCGGAGCAAGCGTTCGAATTTGCAATACGCAGGGAAAAATGACTGGAAAACCAAATCCAAATCCGCAAGCAGGGTTCATCGTCATCTCCTTCACAAACAGGCATAAAAACCGAACCAGTTGGGTTCATCCAAAGACGAGGTGGGGACCCTTATCGTAACAACAGAAGAGGAAACAACAGAGGCCGAGGACAATCACAGCGGGGAAGCTCACAACGACCAGATAGAGACAGGAAACAATCTTGTTTTAAGTGTGGTAATCCGTTCGGACCCGGTCTCCTTCAACAATGTCCAGCAAAGGACAAGATTTGCAATAAATGTACAAAACGAGGGCACTACGCAAGACTCTGTAATTCCACAAACGTTAATGCCATCAGTGAAGAAACAAATCATGAAGTAAACATCCAGGACACCGACATAGCGGCGTATGTTGACTACCTCCAAGCAGGGGACGTCGCTCCGGGGTGGGAACTCATCCATCCAGAGGACAACAGCGTAAATGCTGTACACTTCGAAGAGGAAACGGCAGGAAACTTATCAACAAACGACTTAATAGGACATCTCATCCGAGTCAGAATTGGGAAACACAATATTACCTTCATTGCAGACACAGGATCTCCAACATCGTTTGTAAATAACAAAACAGCGGCCATTTTGGAAAATACGTTGTCACAAGCTCGTCGTATTCAACTCAATCAAAATGATGAGGCTAATAGAATGGTCTGCTACAATGGTTACAAAATTCCCGCGTTCGGCAGGCTGATTGCCCCTATAGAATCAGGAGGGTGGACAATCAACACGGCGCCATTTGTGGTGGTGGACGATAAACGGGCAAACATCTTGGGTCGAAATTTGCTACCACAACTGGGCATTCATCTTCAACAAGAAAAACCAACTGGTAAGTCAATCAATTACATTACAGAACCAGATCAATCGG